ATTTCCGGAGGATCATCAACGCCTTCCGATACTACGGGTAACGGGGACCTGCCGCCGTGTCTGTGGGGTTCTGCCAGGCTCCGCTCCCTCCCGCGGCGCCCTCCTCTCGCCGGGCTGCCTCCGCAGGGCTCAGGAGCTGGCCGTCCACGCTGCTAGGGCTCTTGGCTCTTCCCTGCGTGTCGTGTGGCCGCCTCCCTCGGTCAGTGCTCCGTGGGGAGCGCTGTGCCTTTAGCAGGCTGCAGAAGCCTGAGTCAGGAAGGGACCTCTTCTCCCCTTTGCTTTCTGGATACGCACGAAGTCACCTCGATGTCTTTGTCAGTTAGAAAGCATAAAAGAAAAAAAAAAAGCAAACATCTCAAAGTACGACACACCTGAAAAGGATGTAAAAGATTTCTTTTTATAAAATAAAATGCTTTAAGGCGCTGTAAAGTACTCAAAACAATAGCAGCGCCTGCTGGCAAAGAAATGCAAACGATGTTTCGATTATTGGGGAAATTTTTGAAAGATGTGTTAATTTGCATAAGAGATAAGACCTGTTGATAGGGCTAATGGATGCCATTTTGTTAGAACTTTAGTTTTCTAGACGTTTGTTGAGTCAGAAAAGGGCTTGATGGCCCTCGGGAATGAGAGTGCAGGCGGCCCGACTTTATATCTGAATCCATTGAACGGAAGAGGAAACAAAAGTTATTCAAATAGCGGGGTGGGGGGGACTAGCTGAAAAAGTCCAGTCCTCAACGGTATTTTGGTAAACTGTCTTCTGTTTTGCTAGATCTAGGAAGCATATTTGGGATGCAGCAACACTACATATTTTATACTTCAGTTGACAAACCCCCGTTATGTGAATCATTATTATGTGCTAGAACATTTTTGTCCATGTAATACAAGCATAATTTTTACATGACAGGTTCTTGGAAGGAGTGGGTGATATTTAGAGTGTTTATTTTGTTTACCATTTTTATATCTTGGGTTGTTTTGCTTTCTAGGACTAGTATTTGAGCGGGAGGTTGGTCTAGGTAACACTTCGATGTCTCTTCCAAACCGAATTCTCCAATTCGGTTTGGCCATACCAAAGACTTTATGTTAGTTGTTACTATTAGCACAATAGCCAACTGTAATTTACTTATATTAGTGATGTAATTGTATCCTCAGGCCTTAGAAGCTGGAAACATCTTTCTCAGCCTCGTGCTCCACTGTGACTCTGGGTTGCTTTTGAATACTTCAGTTTCGGTAAACACATAACAAAAGGATATGACTCAAATTTCCAGTACAGAAATTGAATTAAATTGCCTCTGCCTCAAAGAAATAGCTCCGAGTTTAAGTGAAATTACATATCTTGGTAGTTAAAAATAATTTAATTCGAAACATCTGTACGAGTAAGGGAATAACACACTTTCAGCTGAGTCCAGATTAAAGTTCTTGTCTTCTGGAGACATATGGACTTAACTTCATTCTTAGTTCTTCTGATTTCAGTGAATTATTCATTCTGCTAGGAGGTTGCAGTTCAGTATGAAAGGTTGGAGGATCATGGTTCAAAGAATTTTTCTGACAAAACTTTCAGACGGTGATATTAAGCTAAGCTGATGTGCTTTATATAGAGGATCAGTTTATTTTTCTTATTGTTCCTTCTCTGTTTTTTATTCTTAAATGTTATTTTAAACCAGTGTAGCTATTGCAAGGAACGTGCCCTTCTCCGTAGCACGTATGTAACGTTGGAGATGTTAACTGGTCAAATTTCCAGACTGAGGTTGCAACTAAAATTGCAGCAATTGCACC